CTTGTCTGTGCAGTACGTCAAACACTATACTACTAAAACAAACAAACCTCCACCTCGGAATCCCATTAAAACCTCATCTTCTCCAAACTATTTCTGACTTTCATAAGGAACAGTTCAAACAAGCCACTGCAATTTGACAGCAGCGCAGCCTCCTGGAACTCACAATGTATTGTTTGCATGTGAAACTCTTGCTTTCATGAGACAAACAGCACGGCCACCATGAGCATAACAGCTGAGCTCATGTAACACCGCCACATACAAACCCTTTTAACTCTGCACCAACTTAGATTTGACAGCAGTAGGAGGAAGAGCTAAACTGCAGCATCCCAGCACAGCTGTACCTCTGGAGACAGTTGTGTGTATACAGGAGAAGGAGAGGAGCAGGAGGAATTCATTTAAGCACAACATTAAAATGAATGTTCTTTTGATAGAATTGGTTCTTTTTAAGCAGTAGGCAGCACAGTGTGGAAGATCCCCTTGGATTTTTTGGGACAAAGATATCAACAAAGTACTTTTTGCTAAACTGCTATTTAATCTACTCTAATTTTTCAAGGTTAGCACCCCCAGTGAAGTTAAAAGAAGTGACTCTCAGCTCAATTTTCAAGCTTTCAATCCACACAGGAAGTTTCTGATTCATCTTCCACATTTGGACTTTCAGAAATTTCCATGCCTAGACATTAACTCTAAAATTACATTCTGCCATAAAGAGCTAATTATGGAGAGGTGATGGAGGTTTGGGCTTTTCTCCCTTTTTAAATATAGATTTAATTCTGGAGTCAAGCCTTGGCATGGGCAGTAAGTTCAGCAACAAGTTCAAGGGCGCAGAAGATCAACAGCCATAATCTATTATAGATACATAAACCCAGATGGGAAAATAAGCAGCTTGCCAAACAGCTCCTGTACCTATGAGCCTTCAGTAGCAGGATGACAAAGTTCTACTCACTGAAAAGTTACCTGCCAGAAAGACACTTAAACCAGAAAAATCTCAGGTAGTTCAATATTAGTTTATTAAATCACCAGTTTTTATCACCACTTTCTAAAAATGATTACAAAGCATATTAAAATATATTACAGTATCTGCAAGGAATTTATTGTGTAATAAAAGTGCAACAATAATGAACTTACAACTTTGCTTGCTTGGTTGGACAAACTGAAGCACGCTGAACAGATCAAGCCTTCCCTCAAAAATTAGAGTGCCTTTGAAGTGAAAACACGGTATTTAACAAAAATACTGGAAAAGGTGAGCGTGTGAAGTAGATAACAAAGTTCATGTTCATTCTCTTCAGTGCTAAGTTACACATACCCAGCAAATCATACACATCAAACTCTCTGCTTGAATTCCAGCAATATAAAACCAAAGTGAGTGCACATTGTAAAAGGAAGGAAGTGGGAAGAAGAAAAAGAGGGCACATTTCAAGTACTGGGGATGAACGATGTTGCTGAAAGTCAGGGACCAGATACTGCTGCTCTGAGACCAGGTTCCACACAAATCCATACTACCACCATCAAACAACTGGGACCTCATCCTGACCTAGGAAACCTTTGTAAACTCACCATTTTCAAGCTGTCACAGGTCTAAAGGGCTCTCACTGTCCTGTAGTGTGGTTATGAGCCGTAACCCCACATTTTCTGTTCCAATCCACACCAGAAGTCTAAGTAAGTTCTGTAGGAACAGACCTAGGATTGGGAATTAAAACTGCCTTGTGGAATAGTTGGAGTAGAGGTAAAAGCAGCAGTCTCTACTTTGGTTTATGGCAGCAGACTACACTAACAGGCACTGATTTCACAGGACGAATTATTGACAGTTTTAAATGGTCTCACAGCAAATGTAATCAAATCCTAGGTATAAAATGGCCAACAAATCCAACATCTCAGGCTTTCTTCAGCAGCGATTAGTAACATCAAACTGGATACCAAAGGTTACCTCATACGGCTGCTCCCAATAACTACTTAGAGCACAATTTCATGGGAGAAGCTAATCCCGCTCCCTCCTCATGCTCCTGACACATGGACTCACAACCACAGAACATTATCCAAACTGTTGCGTGTGGCTGGTTTAACTGAATGGGCTTGCAGGATCTGACAAGCCAAGAGACCCAGCAAGGCAAATGGAGTAGATCCATGGGTCTGCAAGGAGGTAGTCAGAAAAGAGATCCCTTCCCCTGAGCAACAGCAACCTGCTCTATCGGTTTATCTGTGCAAGAAACTGCTGTTTGAAGTCCATACGAAATGTACTTTATTCCTAGCAACTAAGTACGATGCTACTGCATCTAAAAACGCATCTATGCATGTAGCTCTGTATTGCGATCCTGAAACACTTCTATTCCTCCAGGTAAACAGAGCAAAACCACCTCTACTCCTATACATGTTTGTCCATTCCGCTTCCGACTTTTACACGAAAACAAAGCAAAACATTTCAACCCCATCTGGACAAAATATTTTAACTTATCAAAATGATGCATTTCAGTGTCTTCTCTAACTTGTCCCAAGTTAGGATACTCTCTCAGAGTCTGAAGAAAAGGCTGTGTTCTCCATTTTACTGCCAATAGAGCTAGAAAAATAAAATAAAATCACTTATCAAAGGAGGGTACTTCTACTGGCATGGGATCACATGGCTCCAATGCATTTGGAGCATCACCCCTGGAAGCTACACATGGTGGGAATTCAAACATGGGTCCACCCTGGAAGCCTGTGTAGCTGAAGAGCAAGGTAAGGCAGAGTCGGAAGATCAGCAGCCTCCCAGATCCTCTCAGCTTTGCCCACACTACAGCAGTCACAATACACAACCTTGCTTGCTTTCTCCTGGTGGCTTTCCTTACTCAGCTAGTCAGGTTGGTCATTAGTGTATGTATTTGCTACTGCCTGCAGACACTACACTAAAACAAGCACGCGTTACTACTTCTGCAGCCTATTTTTTAACAACTCCTGCGATGTCTGCGTTTTTCCTCAGTCAAAAATAAATTACACAGAAAATCAGTTACTCTGCAGACGTACAGTCACACAGGTTGACTCGTGGTCAAGTTTCACAGCTCTACTAAAACGCACAGAGAGGCACTAAGGCTAATTTGGTTCTTAATTTAGGTCTAACAGAAATAAAGGTGGTATGCTTGAATGATAACAGAAAAAAATAAGAATTAAAAAAAAGGAAGCAAGTCCTCAAGAACAATTTAAAACTATACCAGGATATCCTTGATACAGGCCTGGAAGCCTGGCAAGGTAAAGGTGTTCTTCTGTCATTACTTAAAATAGCTTCATTGTTTTCCCACAGCAGAGCCTTGGCAAGGTTCATGGTAATTTCACATCAGAACAGAACAGATTCAGAAAGATAAGAGGTCCAGGAAGATCTGAAGTATTAAACCTGACTGACAACCTACAAATGTACAGTCTGAAAAAAGCAGCTGAGGCTCTTCTTAGGTCACCTACAAATCTCAACGCGTGCGACTGAAATCTTTACTGGGAGACAATACCCAAACGATTTCCCTCCCCACCCATACTACAAGGATGCTAAAACACTTTTTGCCTTGCTCTGTCTCAGAAGGCACTACTGCTATCACTTACTGAGACTGAAGGAAAAAGTGCTCAAAACTACAGTACCTTTGATGTGTAGGGTCTTCCATTCCACAACTGGAGTACAAGTCAACTCCTGCTTCCATGCATAGAGCAAAACTGACTGCCAAGTTTGACTTCGGAAAAGAACTGGCCCTCCCTGCAAGGCTCAAGTTCACAGGGCCAAGGTACTGATGAAAATCAGTAGCAATCACCTGATATGTTCAACTTACATTGTGTTGTCAGAAAATGAATGTTTATTAAGCATCCATTCCTTTCATGGCCTGTTTTCAATAAAGGAATATTTGGAGGGACCACTTTATCACTTATTGCAGTCAATCTAAAGATCCTCTCCATCTTTCAAATCTGCCACCATAGGAATCAAATCTCTCTTCTGTGGTTGTCAGCTACACGTTGGCAAAAGAAAGAGTTAAGAACTTTTCCTAAAAGTATTATATATTAAAAAATATACAGAGATAACTGTATAATTACGTGTAAATAGAAATTAAATACCCATGAAAATTTCCCAAGACAATTTGATGTGCTTTGAAGAGGCTGACTTCGAGCAATGCACCTTTTCTGAAGAGAAAGTGAGGCTTGGTTTCAATAAAAACATTCTGCTGTCACTGTGAACAATTCAGGAATTAATGGTCTGCAGAGCACCTGAACCGAAATCTCAGAAGAAACTACAAATCCAAGGAGCAACGGAGATTCAGTTCTTTCAACATTAATACTGAGTACATAGCGCTGTATAAAACTGAAGCAGCAGCTCTTCAGATAACAAGACAGTGATGACAGACTGAAGTAATAATTTTAACATTTTGCAGTTTTAGCTATAATCAGTGAAGTTTTAAAACAAGTGTGCTCATATTTTGAGCACTTAAAAGACTCTCTCCGTTACTTTTCTCTATTTTTCTACCCCCAAAATTAAATAAAAATTAAAAAGGAACAAAAATAAAATCTCCTTTCATATCTGCCTTTCCTTAAACTATCGAGAAGCCGACTTTCACTCCGTGCCTGAAGTATGTTTTTAGCATAGAAGCTATTCCTTGCATAGGCAGGTGAATTTAACATTTAGAGCTTCCTTGCAGTATTTCAAATAGTCTGGAGAAACTCATGGCTGATAAAGTATTTAGGTTTGGTGAAGGTTACTGATTTTTATACATAGTCTTTTTTGCTTTATGGTTGTAAAGGCAGCAAGATATGGAAGCAGGACTACAAAAACATTTTCACCTTACCATCACACGTTATGCTAGATCTATACAAGGCACTTGTGATAAGCATGTCTCAGTGAAGGTCAGCAGGGACAACTACTTGAATGCTGCCCTGCCACTATGCTAATTTCAGTAACTTGCGTGAAATGTGCTAAGGATCTAAGCCTAATTTTAAATTTCAGTCGTTTCAGCACGTCTGTTGAAAGATTTCCAAAATCCTCACTCTCCTCCTTCTATTTTTCACTCTGCTGCCTGCAGAGGTTTCCTGTGAGATGGTGGCACCAGGTGGGAAGGTAGCGTGCCAGGCAGTTCATATCCGTCCAGTTTAATCTTGATCAGATGTTTTGCTAAAGCAAACTCCTCATCATCCAACATCCCATCACCATCACAGTCTGCAAGTTTCCAGATCTTCCCCAAGACACTGTTGGGTAGTTTAGAAGTCACCATCTCCTTCTTTGCACTGATCCCAGATATTTTGCCATTGATTGGTGACAGAGTGTAGAAAATCTCATCGTAAGCAGGTTTATCCTTGGCAACAACCCATTCGTCTTCATCAGCTCCTTCCTTAGCACCTTCTCCATATCCGTGGCCAAAAGGTCCTGCCATGGTGCCATCAAATGCTCCACCATGTACCATCTCTGTGGGCATATTGCTCTCTTCCTGCGTGATCAGGCTCATCAGGGAGGCAATTTTGTTGGCCAGCATGTTATCCACAGCTTCAATTAGCTTCGGCTTCAAAGAGTGAAATTTAGTGAAGTCACAAGTCTCCAACAGCTCCTGTCAATGACAAGGGTTTCAGTGACAGCAGTTAGGAAAACTTCCAATACATTGAAACAGGTTAAGGAATGGGCTTCAAATGAAAATTGTCTGTTATCTTTTGAGGCAGTTTCCATAACTGAAACGCCTCTTGAAGGAGAAGCAAAGATAACACATATGTATCATATGCCTAATAAACTGCTGAAATACACTAAGACAGTTTTGCAGCAGTATGAGCTGGTCTGTTAAATTCTATTTACAATACAAAGTGGCAACGCATAAAAGCATGGCAGTCGATGAATGCTACCTAACAACTTTCCATCTGGTGATTTTCATCCAAATATCAAAGAAAGTATGCAAGTAGGCCATCAGTCCTGCCAGCACTTATGCAAGTATTTAAGTTAAAAATAACTCCAAGAGTTTGCAGGGCTGATCTGATTTTATAGATTAAACTTCTTGTTTGTGGTTAGGTCATGAAGAAATGTCCTTTACCAATAAAGAAAAACTGAGCTGGGATAACAGCAGCGGCATTTTTATAGAAGTGCTGCCAGAACTCATGAAGTCATATGGTCCCTGCTGAGTTTTCATCTCCTACTAACCTCACTGAGATGTTTAACTAGGTGATATGTGCTATTTCAATACAAGCACAAGTAAATTTTGTACCAGAGCACTGAAAATTTGCTTTAGGCAATTATTAAATTGCTCCTATATGCAAAATGTTAGCCAGGAAGAGAGAGTTACAGTGGAAACTGTTAAAAAAACCCAAATAAAACTCCACTCCCCCCTCTCAAAATGGTGTTAAACTGCTTTGACAAATCACATCTATCATCTCAGGGAGCTGCTCCCATACCTATTATGATATGAGTGATATGAACCCAAGAAACATGAAACGCAGGTGAGTGGCTTCGCCCATACACACAGACCTCTGGATTACTTAAAGGAAAACCAATCCCCACCACTGACGTTTATACACAGTCACCTGATTTACAGCAAGTGATCAATATAAATTTATGATATGCAATACATCTTAGAAAGCAAAGGTCAAACCTGCTCTCTGTTTTGCCTCAGTTTTGTTTTGTCACAACTTTGCTCCTCATTACGGAAGTGACTGATCTCTCATCTATGTATTTGCTGCCATCTACTGCTGGAGCTCCGCGATGTGCACTATTAGATTTAGAAAGTTCCACTCAAATTTTGTTTCAATATCCAAACTGACAAGTGATCACTTCTCATTCTTCATCACCATCAAAAGTGGCCAGGGAAGAAAGAGGTAACTTTTTCCACCCAACCAACTTCTAAAACCTAACTCATGAAACCCTTCCAACAATCCTGCCTGTGAAAACCCAGCCGAAATAGATCCTGTGCTTCATCTTTAATTTACTGTCTCATGCCAACAATTGATTCCCAAGTGAAATGTTTTAGTTCATAACAGAAACCCGTGCATCCCTATGGACAGGTTCATCAGTCAATGATGACTCTTCAGAATTAGCAGTGTAAAAGTACCACATAAACTGTCAGAATGATACAAATGTCAATCTGGAAAACATTCTCCTTCACACTCATGAGCAGCCCTTGGTTAGACCAAACTGCAGACTTGGGGTCTTGTGTTCTACAGCTTCTAAGCTGAATTCTCTTCTAATTCAAAGGCCATTTAAGAATCCTATGATCTAAGATGCAAAAGTTGCCAATTGAGGCTTGAGGAATAAATTGAACAGTGTTGCTATCACTATTAGCAGTTCTTCCCTAGGATACTCTGTTTCTAAATAACTAACCTCAAATGAGAGGACAGAAATAAAAAGGTGAGAAAGTGACAGAAAGCTGGATTACATAAAGTCCAAAAGAGAAACAAGAGACAACAAAGTATTAAAAATTTAACAATAAATATAAGATATAATAGATATCTTCACCTATGCAAGTATCTTATAGCATTACAAAAGCGATACAAATACCCACATCTAGGACACAAAACAATTAACCTGTAAGTTTCCACTGCTGTTTTATTTGCACAAAGCCTTCAGTGCTATCTGCCATGAGGGACCAAATATTGACTAAAAGGACAGAGGGCCTGATAGTCTATAGTCCTATAGAAGTGGATGCACACTAAGGAATGTACCAATTTTTATTGCTCTGCACTGCTTCCATGTCATGCTAACCCCGTAACAGACGCATGATTGACTGTCACTTCAGCAGCTCTGCTGCTGAGGACTCTGAACTGTAATGCAGAGATACTCTCTCCTACCTCTACCAATTCAGCAATCCTGTTGGAAAGTCAGTGTTATTTAAGAGGAACTGTAATCTAGCATCTTACCTGCATTTTCTTGACTTCAGGGAAGTCACCTGCTGAGATATGGTATTCCCTTTGCAGTTGGGTGTAGATCTCTGGTAATCTGCTGATCAGTTCCTTCTTCTTGTTCTCTTTTCCAAACACAGAGGGCATTTCTTTTTTCAGATAGCTGATGATATAAGCATGAACCTAAGAAGCAGCAAAACTGAAATTAATACTAAGGTTTATCTACACTTAACATTAGTGTTCTTCACCTCAGTCATAAAAAGAGACAGAAATACGTTTCCGTAAGTCAGCTCAAGGGTAAGATATTATCAGTGACTGTTTCTGGAACTTCATCTTTATATGAACAGTTACCAACTAGCTTTAGCTGCTTACAGCATTCCTTTAAGGGGCAGAGAGACAGAAACATATTTAAAATGAATACAAATGTACACTGGCAGTTAAAGAAGCAGCATGGTACAACACACTATCAGTACCAACTGTGAGAGCAAAAGCAAGGCCTCAAAACCACGTCCTGACACCCCTTGCGTGGGTCACACACAGAGCGCCATCTGTACTGGTCCATCTGTCTCAGTGGTGGAGATTTGTAACTCCATTTGCCTCACCAACTATTGTGGGGCAGCAATGGGATAATGCCTCAAGTAATCCAAATATGCTAAGTGGCAGGGCTATCCAATCGACACTGCATTCCTACCTATTTGCTCCCAGAAAAGGGAGTGCCTATAGTCTTTACGCAGCCACAACACCATTACAGAGCAGTCAGTATGCTGTAACAACAGCATGCCATGGCAGTCTTGCAAAGCCTTAGGGAGAAAAGCAGAGCCATCCAGCATATAAAGACACATGTTAATTTAGGATTACAAGTCCTAAAACACACTGATACTTGCAGAGCTCTTCAAGTTTTAATCCAGCACTTGCATCAAAACACCCATCCTGCCCATGCACCTTCCTTCCACCCTTACCCCTGGAGCCATTAATCTCTTCCTCTTCACCACCACCATTAATCTCTTCCTCTCCCACCACCTTTCACCACCAAAAGGATCTGCATGTTCACACAGCCAGTGATCTGGTCCAGGACAGAAGGAAGGGGGGTTGCACTTCTTAAATGAGTGAGTTCACCCGTACAGTTTTGTGTGGACACAGATATTCGTGCCGCACACAAGAGGGAAGTGCAAGGGCTGGCTTCTTCTAGAAGCAATGTGCATCTATCACAACTTGGAGTAATCCAACTGCTTTGCTAAGCTCTAACCTGGCTAGCACCTCTGAATTCAGATGACCTCCACAACAGACTAAAGTGTTTACAGAACTCAGGCCTCGCTTTATTTTAATAAGGATGTGGCTGTTCCCAAAGCAGAAGTTACACGCAGTTTTTACAGAGACAGAAAAAAGCTTCAAAAAAATTTCTATCAAACCATTGAACGGTAAAAAGCTGAGATTTTGAAGACTGGAGGAAGAGACAACCACAAAAAAGTATCAGTAGACAAAAGTGATAGCGATAGTGTAGGTATGGTGTAAGTACAATAATTAATTAATACCTACCAAAACACCACAGCATGTGCTTTACAGTATTCTGTACAAACCTAACACAACCTGTAGAGGGGAAGTGCTCTCCCATTCATTTCCTTACTTATTTAGGTGGCTTACTAGAAACTGGAAACACAAAAATTCACTTCTGTTTTTAAAGAAAAAATGGCATAACCGGTTTTCCTTTGCACATCTTAATACCCCAACTTTTACATTTAACCGTTACCAGAACAACAGCAAAAATGGACAAGAATATACACTCAACATCACTTCCCTGTATGTAAAAAGAATGCATGAATTTTAATTGCAGATAAATTTAAATGTCTACAGAGGAGATAAAAACAACCCAGCATAAAGCAGCAGGGTTTCTGCATAAACCCATGAAATTTTCTAATAGGCTAGACATGACTATATATCCAGAACTACAAAAGAGATTCAACAAGGTTATTTCTAAGAGAGTTTATAAATAATTGCAAGTAATTTAATGGACCTTATGTTTAAAATGACACTTCTAGTAAAACCAGAAAAGTATGTTTCTAGTTGAGCAGCACGAACAGTTTCACATATGCATGCTAAGTGGTCTAAGGTCTGCAAGTGGGCACATGTGTTTCTTACAGATAAGAACAGTTCCCATCTTCAAAATGGGACAGTGAGTCACAGGACTTGGGGAGAGAAAAAAATAGGAAAAAAAAAGCAAGCAAACACTCAAATTTGACAGCAAGTTAACAGCTTGCTTTTGGTTTTGGTTACTCTGCACGCTTTAGAAGAGATAAAGAAACAGAAACAGGACAAAAAAACCTCAGGCAATGCTGTAAAAAATGACTTTTGGAGTGTCAGTACTTTAATTTCAGTTTGGAAGACAGAAAGATGACACAGGAAAGATTACATTGCTGCTTTCCTGCAGGTAAACAGTTTATTTCCCTTCCACAGCTGTCTAATTAGCAAGCCCTATGAGCGCTGTATTTACCTTCATCCATTTTTATTTTACTTTACATAGAAACACCTGAAAATGACTCATCTGACTTTTCCACTTCCAAAACACTTATAATGAAAAAGCAAAAAGCTGCCAACAATACCTATGAAACGGATAGAGATTACAGCAACTTTTAACACAACATCATCAGGAATGCGATTTTAAATGGAATTTTCAAAGAAGCCACTGCTACAGGGTGCCCTAAAGCTCAGGCCACAGAAAAACCCTTTAAAGGTATCTTTATATTCAGAGAGTCAATTAAGCCAACATAGGAAGTGGTACACGTTCCAACATGACTATTCTTGTATCACTGCAAGTGCAAGTCCTCTTCATTTTTGCTCAGAAGTCCACATGAAAACATGTTCCAAGACCACTGCATTAACTCCCATTCTGTTTGATAACTGCATAGGAAATACTAACGTACTTTTAATATCAGAATTTGTGTCTGGTATCACCAACTTTCCCCCCAAGTATTCTGAGGTTCGTTTTCCTTCTTTTCCAGTTTTTCAAATGACAAATCCAAATTCTTGAGTCACCGATTTTCATTTTGTTCTTAAGCTTTTCAGAAGAACAAGAAGCTTGGGAATGCTTTTAACAATTATTCTAACAGCAGCTGCAGTGTTAAAATAAAAGAATCAGAGAAACTGGCAAAGAAATATTTTGTATGACAAGCAAAGCCGATTCCAGTCAGGCTGTGAGAAGAAAGGACAGATGAAGGTAGCGTTGTTAAGCAGGGAGTCTGAAGATTAGTGCAAAGTATAACCAGAATTTTTTACAAATAAGTAATTAAAATGTGGTGATAATTCACAAAGCTTAAAGTGATACCCACTATGTTACAATGCACGAACTCCTAAAGAGCTGAGAACAAGGGAACGGTGACAAGGGCTACAGACAGTGGGGCACTCATGTTTTGGGATAATGAGAGGTTTTTTCCTGGATATGACAACACAAGTCTGTATCGTCCAAGTATCTGTGCGGAATAAAGGAGATGTATCTGAGAGGCTCAAAACTTTCAATCAAATATACAGGCACCTCTCTAATTCATTAGTGTCTGTGCTTCACCAAGAGTGAGGCTTTTAAGCAGTTTTGTAATCCAGGGTATAACATAAAAGCATTTAGTCAATGTGTTTTTCCACAGCAGCTCATTGCCTGGATGTATTAAGGCATTAATACGCAAAAAAGCATATGGAAGGTTGCACGTGAACAGTTCTAGTTGTGGTCTTTTGCCCCCCTTTTTCTTATTTCTTTTTTTGAAATGTTCTCTACATATCACAGAATCACAGAATCGCTCGGTTGGAAAAGACCTCTGAGATAATCACGTCCAACCGCTCCTGTCTACCCCCTAAACCATATCCTTAAGTACCTCATCTACCCGCTCTTTAAATACATCCAGGGATGGTGACTCCACCACCTCCCTGGGCAGCCTGTTCCAGCTTCTGACGACCCTCTCAGTAAAGAGCTTCCTCCTTATCTCTAACCTGAACCTCCCTTGGCACAGCTTGGTGCCGTTTCCCCTTGTTCTGTCCCCCATCACCTGGGAGAAGAGCCCAGCACCCACCTCTCTCCAAGCTCCCTTGAGGCAGTTGTAGGTGGTGATGAGGTCTCCCCTCAGCCTTCTCTTCTCCAGGCTAAACAAGCCCAGTTCCCTCAGCCGCTCCTCATCAGGCTTGTTCTCCAGAGCCCTCCCCATCCTTGTGGCTCTTCTCTGAACACGCTCCAGAATCTCAACATCCTTCTTCTAGTGAGGGGCCCAGAACTGAACACAGCACTCGAGGTGCGGCCTCACCAGTGCCGAGTACAGGGGGATGATCACCTCCCTGGCCCTGCTGGTCACACTGTTTTTAATACAGGCCAAGATGCCGTTGGCTTTTCTGGCCACGTGGGCACAGTGCTGGCTCATGTTAAGCCGACTGTCAACCAATATCAGCTACTGTTTAAAAAAAAAAAAAGTTCTTTATCTCCAAAATGTAACATTACCTTGCTGCATGGTGTAAAAAAAAACACAAAAATTCACTCCCTTTCTAAGCAAACAGTAGCTTTAATGGCCTAAAATGCATCAAATCCCTTCTCTGAAGTTGGCATCCCAGTACAAGTCTTGATTTCTTCCTACTTGCTTCTATATCCTGGGTGGCTACCACTGACAATTCAATCCATTTGCTGAAAAAGATGTAGTTTATGCCTAGAGAAAGCTTGGGAAGGGTGAAGAAAGACTCTCTGAAAGAGGAAAAAATAGACTGCTCATTCAACTGATTTAGAATTTTTCTCTTTTCTTACCTTTGCAAGTCTCGCCCTCTTAATGAGATCATTGAGCTTCCGCACAGCAGCCTTCTGTGGGAGACTCTGGATATCCTTGAAGAGATCCTGTGCCTCGGCTTCAAAAAGTCTTCGATTATCTGTGTTTCGGAGAGGATGGGCCCAGAAAGAGCCAATGTAGACCCGCAGCACCTCTGGAGTGTTGATCACCTTTCCCAGGGACCACATGAGCGCACCGTAGACCCTCATCAGCTGCTGCGTGTCCACTTGGTCGGCCTTATTAAGCACCACTCGAATCTTGTCATCCTGGCCCCGGAATGACTTAATAGCCTCTGAAAACTCATCCGATATATCCAGCTTATGGGCATCAAAAAGGAGGATGATGCGGTCGACCCTCTCTGCAAACCACTGGAGGACTTGGCAGAAGTCGTAGCCTGAAAGAAGAACACACTATTACAGTCCTACCATTCAGAAAAGTGAGCTTCAGAGAAGGTAGGTCTGGGGATGAAGAACAAGTGGATCATAGCATTTACCCAGGGAAAAAAAGAGATGGACCACCTGGAGGAGAGTGTCTGTGGACAGTGAGGTCAGGACAACTGTATCCTACATGTACTTAGACTGGTCTCACTATTACCACCTTTTATTTTTATCACTGCCCTTCCTTCAACCTTGCCATCCATCTCCTACGTCACAATCTTTTGTGCTGCTGTGAGTTACCATCTCACATCTATGTTTGCCTCTTTCCAGGAGTTCTGGCTCCAGCAGAGTGCCCAAGCTAAGCAGGTCTGTGGGGCTCTTATCACAAGCTTTCTTCATCACTGTGCTACCGATTGCTTTGGGGACGTGACAGGTTACAGAACACAACAAGCAGTGACCTTTCTCACCATCTGAAACAAACCTCCTGACATTCAGAAGGACAGCCTATTCGTAGCACCTGTCTGAATGCTTTCATAAATGCAGCTGGTAGCCTAATCCATAAAACAAACAGTATTCAGGAGCGCCTCATTCAGAAGTGACACATTTAATCTGCAGAGTCACCACCAGTGATGTGGCACTGGGCTTGGCATGGATGTGACTCATCTTGTTTGAGTAAGGAACAGCAAGGTATGAGCTGGGAGTCGACACTCACCCTTCTTCTTCCTCTCAGAAACAAATCAAAGCCAAAAGAGGGAGCAGTCAAAATGCAAGAACTGGCGTAACGTAAACCAAACAGAATGGACGGTTTTGCCCCAGCAGCATGTATTCAAATGTCAACAGTGAAGAAAGCTCAGTTACCACCAGTGAGCCCTCCAGGGTGTCTTTCGTCATTTCTCATCTAAGTAAAATAAGCCTTTAAACCTCAAATCTTCCAGCAAAAAACAAAACCCATACATGAACCACAGAATCACATAATGTTAAGAGTTGGAAGGGACCTCGAAAGCTCATCCAGTCCAACCCCTGCCAGAGCAGGATCACCCAGACCAGCATTGACTGTACCAGCATTCATTTTAAGAAAAGCTAAGCAACTTTACAGTGTCCCTATACCCTTTATTAATACTGTTTAAAAGGTGCTAGGGAGAACAGAGTGGTGAAGAGTGGTTTGTTTGTGTCTGGACCAGGCGTATGAAGTGTTTGTATAATTGTGTCCAGTTCTAGGCCCCTCAGTTCAAGAAGGACAGGAACTGCTTGAAAGAGTCCAGCACAGAGCCACAGAGATGATCGAGGGAGTGGAGCATCTCCTGATGAGGAGCGGCTGAGGGAGCTGGGGCTCTTGAGCTTGGAGCAGAGGAGACTGAGGGGTGCCCTCATTCATGGTTATAAATTTATAAAGGGCAGTGTCAGGAGGAAGGAGCCAGGCTCTGCTCTGTGATGTCCAATGACAGGACAAGGGGCAATGGGTACAAGCTGGAGCATAGGAGGTTCAATCTGAACACGAGGAAAAACTTTTTCACTGTAAGGGTGCCAGAACATGGCCCAGGCTGCCCAGAGAGGTTGTGGAGTCTCCTTCTCTGCAGACATTCCAAACCTGCCCGGACATGTTCCTGTGTGACCTGGTCTGGTGATCCTGCTCTGGCAGGGGTTGGACTGGATGATCTTTTGAGGTCCCTTCCAACTCCCAATATTCTGTGACTCTGTACTCTGTTAAGTTACAAGAGCAATTCTAGATGGCAACGAAGAGCCATGGTCCTTTAACAACACAGGACTACCAGTGAAACAGAACCTGCAGCAAAACACAACTGTCTCACATGTGAAGTCTGGGACTTCCACAGCAATCCCTAACGGTGTTGAATTTTGTCACAGAACTGCTCGCTTTTTAAGTGACATATTACTAAGATGCTCTAATTTTCTGCTTATTTCATGTTCACTTCCATACTGTTATGGATGTGGCAGCAGATACTTGAATGCCACAAAACATAATTTCCCCTTGATTTTAGAAGCAGAGAGGGAGAAAGGTGAGCTTGATTTTTCTTGGTGGAGGAAAACAGGAGCTGAAATCCAAAACGGAGAAGCAGGAGATTTAAGACCATCTTTGATTTCATCAGACTCTCTGTGGAAACTGAGACTTAAATATTTTGTGTACATATTATGAGAAGATTAAAGGTGATTAGTTATACACTTGGTCATTTCTGCCTAAAAACAGGTGTGCCAACTTGCAGTATTTGTTTTACTCACTGGTTTGGCAACATTCAGGCCTTTGCTTGCACAGATGTAGAGCAGTGACTGCCGTTCATCTCTGCTAGTTCACCAATGTATCACATATGGGAAAACACATCTCTCTCCACAGTGAGTGCTTTACATGACTACATGAGCAATAGAGAGGACAAAACCTACATACTGAACAAAGAATCCAGAAACACCTAGTAGACCCGATTACTAAGCAAGCACAGTTTATATCACAGTCTTAAGTTGGTTTCTGCCAGTGCAATGTAAAGATAAGACTATGGTTGCACAGCTGACATACAGTGTGCTCATTCCAGGATTTCCTCAGAAAATCCCAGGTGTGATGTGTTAAAGAACTGATTACTTCCCCCTCCCACAGACACAAAACACACACAAGTTTCCATTTCTTAATCAAAGGTCTGAAAACAGAGGGCAGCATAAGCCACACACTGGAACACTACAATTTGCAACTGCACAGAAACTTCTGACATGCACATACATGCAGATGAAGGAAACAAGGAAGAAACTTATTTACACCATGCTGTTTTAATAGTTTCTCAAAGACAGGCTAATTTCTTAAACAGCATTTTAAAAACAGGGTTCAGTCCTTCACAGAATTTTCATTTTATTAAAACAAATTCTCATTCTTCCTGCTTTCTTAAATCTTTTTGACTGAAAACTGTATTACTACACGACTGAGCAACCTTAAGAAGCAACACTAGCAGCTGTGCCTACAATAAAAGTACCTTATCTGTAGCCCAATCCCCTCAGTTTTTAAGCATAACCAGCTTGAAGAGCTATAGCTATTGTGAAACACTTCTCCATTCATGAACTTCAATAGTATATAAGAGTTTATTCATTATTAATTTGTGAAAAGTAATTAAAGTGAGGGAAATAAGGCTTTTTCTCAGGAGTGTCAAAGCTAATCAGTCAACAGACAATGTAACCATAGCCGTTTGCAGCCATAGCAGCAAGAAGATAGAAATCCTAACGCCACCACTTTTCAAGAAAAAAAAAATCCAAACAGTACTTAAAACTTGGAGTTAACAGGCCTCGTAGTAAGAAAGTTTGGGACATAACACCATTCAAATCCACTAAAACAGGCCCCTAACAGATTAGAATCATGACCTGTCCAGTACAGCAAAAATAGTCAGCAAGCTCAGCTATTTTCAAGCCCCACAACTCACCTCTGCTGATGCGCTGCTTCTCTCCAGAGAGAATGCCAGGGCTGTCAATGATACTGATGCTCTTCAGGACCTGGTTAGGTAACTGAGAACACATGAATCTGCAGAAAAAGGGGAAAGAAAGAACATTAGCAATAGCTCTAGCTCACATGTAGATTGTCCTTTGAGAGCTCCCCTTTATGTATCTGCTTTGAGAAAGACTTGAGTGAGATTTTAAAGAAGTTTCTGAAGTCCTAATAAACCCCTAGGTTTGGCAACCATACATGTTTAAGAAAACAAAATGTAAACAGAGAGCTTCTCATAAAATACAAAACACAGGAAAGCCTTGTCAAACAGTATGTCTAAGTGCTGATAAAATTCCAAATTTTGCAAGAGCTAACAACATAGGCCACACAGGCAACATTAAAAAGTCTGCATAAAACAAACATTTTGCTAGGACTAAAATTAGTGCACGCAAGAAACAATTCTTCATGTACTCCAACTTTTGCCCAAATTCAAAAAGTTTCAAAAGAAAAGGGAAACAGGCAGAAAGCCATACTGACGACATGTTTATATTTCAGTTACTGGCAAGTCACCCTCTCACCAGCTCCAGCAGTGTTTGAACGGTCCCAGTCTCTAACCCACCACCCTCCTTAGGTGGGGCTTGCACAGGCCTGAAAAACAAAGGTATTTCTCCCACCAACGGAGGGAGAAAGCAAAAGCTTTCACACACACTGCCAGAATCGAGTGCTCAAATTACACACAGCAGGCTCTAAACAACAACCTCCTGCCTCTGTGATGGGAGACAAATTCTGAAAAGTAAATAAGTCATGAGGCCTCTGAGAATTGTGAAGAACACTTTGTGCGTTAAATGCAGACTAGTCTGATGCTTCTGGGACAGTTCATGACTAAAGAACTTCACCTCCTTTCATCATAAACTGACTGTAAGAGATTTGCATAAGACTTTAATCCTCTTATGGGGTAGCAGCTGAAGTCTGCACTAACAAGCACACAGTGTAACCTACCCTCCTCCTGTGAAGCTGCAGTGCGGTGTCCTTCCTCCCAGGCAGCCTAGCACAGGGTTAAGCTGCAGGCTCAGGCCACAAGATGTCTGCCTGGACTTAACCCAGCACACACTATCTCAAGAGATAGGGTATCAGAAAATTGTAACTGTACCAAGGTCAAACAGCAACTTTAAGACTAAAACCAATCTGAGTTAGGAAGACTTCAAGTTGTAAAATGTCAGATAAAAGATGGAAGATACATCAAAATTTGGAAGCTATTGTAGCACGCATAATGATCCAGATGATTCAAAGGAAATCAGGGGGAAAAAACCTTACACCTCGCTTCACCTTGTTTTTCAGGTGACCTTGTAGTAATGAGTCTGTACAAAAGCACACAGCATCCCTGGGTAGGACAGAAATGGCAGCATCAGCTACAACCCTCCCTGAAAACTAAGAGGGGATTAAGGAAACAGCAGGCATTTTGGCCTGATAAAACCTTAGGCTATGCAAGCAGCACCATTCTTTTTGGGTTGCTTGAGGATTTTTGTTCAGTTGGTTTTTTTGTTTGGGGTTGTTTTTTGGTTTGGTTTGGTTTTGGGTTTTTTTGGTGGAACATCAGCTGTAGAAAATACTGCATATCCTGAAGCAAACTTTTCCACTAAGGGTAATTTTCTAGAAGCTTAAGAGATGCTTTTGAAAAAGCAGTGAGGTACTACTGAAAAAAAGAATATTTTTGAACTTTCCAAAACCTAAAGAAGATACTATGTTAAAACAAACATATTTTGTGGAAGCATAGTGGATGTTCATAATTGACAAAGAAAATACACTTGACTGTCAACCATTACAGAAATATACATCTCTAGTATGTAAAATATTAAGTAACTTTCATAAATTTGGAACAGTAAGACCGACTTTTCAAATTTTTTTAATCACTATTTCACTTTAGAAAGCCCAGTACTTGCTTAGTATCACTGAAGTGTTTCTAGGCCTATCTCACAAGACAACATGCACCATTACTTCAGCTGAACAATACAGCAGTACTTTTGACTTGGGCATCACCCCAACTGGGACAGCTGGAAAAGGCTGTGCAAGAAAATAGAGAACTACAGTCCTCAGAAATGGAAAAGCATTGCAGACTTTGCAGCAGTCATCAGTGGCAAAGGGAGGAGGAAATTATCTATGAAAAGGATATGGAATAGAAGGATAAACTCAGAATTAACTGGCTGTAGCTTTTAGAATATATCCATAATCTAAAGACAACAGGCGGATTAAAAATCTTATAACATACTAGTATTTCAGACAGCTTAAAACTGTAATGCTAATTGTATCTGAGTATCTCTTTAGACATTGCAATTTGGCTCTGAACCACTATTTCTTACGTGACCTATATGATGTGCGATTTTTAAGTTCTGCCTCATAAAAGCAAAACTACTATCTGCCTTACAAATAACAGCCCTTCACAAAAAAAAGCTTTATAAAAGCAGCTGTGTGAATGAGATGACTGCTTATGAACCATTAGACCCTTGATACTTTCATGGTTTTCCTATTATTATAAAACTATTGTTAAAGGAAACCAGCAATATTAGACTTTCCTTGCAAAAATAATTCACATTGTTTGCAAAAACGAAATAATTTTGTAATCATCTGTTGATTTATTTTTTTTTTTAGATTAACTTTGGACGACTCAAATAACCTAGTAAGAATTTATACTCCTTTTTGTGTTCATTCAGATACTCATTAGAATAGAGCAGGACCATGTGTTTCTTCTCAGCAGCACCCATTTATTTGCGTGATTTTCTGGTATAATGCAATATTCTTTCCTCGCTTACTTCAGTCAGCATCCAAGTGCACACTAGGTCATGTACTCATCTCCTTCTCCCCCACCTTTCCTTAGAAGCACACAGGAGATACGAAAGACAAGTTTCCACACTCTGGAGTCTTACAGAGACATCTACCACAATTAGTGAGATACAGGGGAAAATAAGAATGGAGCATGGAAAAAAGAGGCAAGGTAACATAAATAAATAAATGCAGCTCATTAGTAAGTAAAAGCCTTGATTGTGCTACTGTGTTCTTGTTTGTTTTCAGTTTCTCCATTACCTCAGTCACTGTTTCCTTTCATGTTACATTTAGATGAAAAGGGCACTTGACTTCACAGTCTAAGAGTCCATAGCTTTGTAAAAGTACTACCTTATGTTTTTCCACAAAACAAAACACTAGAATTGTGTAATCATTAAAAAAAAAAACAGGGGTGAGAAAAGTAGAGAGAAATATTTTATGACAGGTGAGAAAAATGTAATATTTGGCGTAAAGCACTGTCACTGCCCAGTATGGCAAATGAGAGAAGGCAGAGCAAAATACGTAGTATGACTGCAAGCAAAGATGACAGGGAGAAGTTACTCAAAAGATACTGAAATAAAGCCTAAGACACTCTCAGCCAGGTAAAGCAGGAAAGAGAACCGAGTTGACAGTTTTGAAAAAGCAGCAATATAATCAGAGTGGCAGACCAAGCGTGGTGCTAGGGGAATATAAACACCTAGATCTTCACTGCAAAGCTCAGGAGCAAATCTGAATGTTGGGGAATATAGGGTTGCTTAGAGCACTACGATATAACAATACCACAGTCACCAAAAGAACTGGAGTAATTTAGTTGGTTACTTTGAATGTACTTCTTTTCAGCTTGGAAATCATCTTGCTTGCCTAAGATTCAGAACCTGACACAACTAGCTACACAGATGATTTAGCCAAAACATTACGCAACCCATTCATCCAGACAAACATCCAAGATTATTACATGTTCTGTGTCAATATTTGAATATTGTGCAAAATACTATTTATAGTATATTAACTTTTCACAGAGAGCACACTAGTGGAGAGAGAGAGTGAATAGTGACCTGGAGGACAAGCCTTAGCCAACGACCTCACAAAAAGGGGTTTTGGACCACAAAATCATTATTTAAAATGGGACTTGACTGTAGCTTCTCACAGCACATATTCTTATCTCTCAGCAAAGTGACAGCCAAGCCAACTATAGACAGCTATAAACCTTCTTTTGTGAATAAGCACAGCAAGAGATAAGACTGTACACGATGAACTTTTAACACATATGTCAGTGTTTATCGGGCAAACAGGAAAGTTTACTGTTAAAAGAGAACCAATTTAGATTAATTGGCTTGCAAAACCAGGCCTCCATGTCAAGCTACCATTGAACACAGGAAGAAAACAAGGTGATTGCTCACACAATGCGAACAAAGCTATTAATAACTTTTAACCGGAAATATTTAGCCTGCTACTTAAGTTAGCCATGACAATATTCACAGCCTCTGAACAACACTCCTCTTTCTTGCAAATACCCAGCAGCTCTCCAGAAGCTAATGCTATTATCCTGGTCTATGGGACTCCTTGAAGACCATCTAGTTAAAATCAAATACTAAATAGTTTGAATATGTACTTTATCCAGAAGGTGCATTCAGATATTCCCTATTCTTGTAGGCCTTTTTATATATCCCAGCAACTCAACTTTGAAAAGCTATATCAAGATCTCAAGTGAGACCAGCCTAAAGAAACAAGATAGAATTAAAAGGAAAAGATTTTTTCCTCCTTCTGAGATGGCAGTTTTTAATAATAGTACTAATGCACCAGTTTTACTGAGCAGGGAAATTGGTGCCCAAACTGATCTTGAGTTCCAGCTGGCGTCATGCCTTACAAACAAGTTAGCTGGTGGAGTGTTTCAGCAGTTTCCCATGAAGTGGTTTTAACCATGATTTTCTGTTCTGATAACTGAATACGTATAAACACTCCTTACATCTTTAAGTTTTTTTTAAGCTTTACCAAGTATACACAGCTCTGTGCTAGTACTTCCCTCGCTAGCACTTTTTTTTTAATTCACTTGAACTGCCACCACTCCTACTTGTATTAGCCTATTTATTCATGCTGTTCAAAACAAATACAGCAGAAAAAACTTAGTAAAAAAACACTGATGCTTGAAGATGGTATCAAGTAGAAATTCAAACATAAAAATCAAAAGACCACAAGCAAACAGATCTCACCTGTTCAGGAAAGCATTTCCAAAGCGGCTGAGTTTGCGGAATGGCTTCTTAGGATCAACAACCAGGGCATTTCCAGGAACACTTCCTTCTGAATCTCCATACATCACAGCAATGAAAGAATCCGTGGTAGGCTCTGGACCAATCCGCATGCCTGGAAAGTCTTGTTCGAGCAGGTATCTAGAGATGGAAAATACATAAAATAACAAGAATGAGTAACTGGGAACTACAGCACAAGTAAATACTTGTAATTCACTTGAAAATTCTCAGGGATATACAAACTGTACAATAATAAAATTACATTTTTCCTGCATTTCATTATTTCTATTAACTAGGGGGAAAAAAAGAACTGACTTTTAGTTTTTCACAACAACTAAGTAAAAGGATGAAGTAAACTACTGTACAAAACCAGGGTGGAAAGTATGCCCTCAACTGCAATACCTGAACCACTGAAGTGGATGATTCTACCAATGATCCCAGTGCTGTGGTTACACTGCCAGACATTGCTGATTTTGTGTGTGTTTTCAAGCCTACACAAGTGCTGCTGGTACTAAAAGGGAGGGGTTTGAAGCAGCACATGAGCAGCATCAGTTTGCTGACAGATCTAACCCTTCGATGAACTCAGTATGATTTTACTAACTTTAACTTATCTTACCACAGGCAGAGATAAGACAGCTATGAGACAATACAGTTACATCTGTTTGGGAGTGAAGAAAGGAGCTTTTATTTCATGTACCAAGAAGTAATTGTTAACTAAGTCAGACCTGCAGAACATCAGGGCTTATGGAAATGTAATTCCATTAAGTCAGGCAACGCTATACCAACAGAAATCATCTAGCAGTACTTTGAGTACTAATCACAGACAGCACATACTCAGTGGGCCAAGTCTGATACATCAAGTCTTGAATTTCCAAACAACAAGGTTTTAAATGAAAGGCGTGTATTTAAAAGCTAAAACGTAATGGAACCAGAGCACGTATTTACAGAAGAAGCCTGTCTGCATCCCTTCCTGGATGGCAAGCGAGAAGCAAGAGAAGCCCCAAGCCTATCAAGCAAGTTTCCATCTTACAGCTTGCCTCCAGCATACACTATAACTGCCACTGTTCAAACACAGAAGCAGACAACCCTGCTTAACTTTAAAGCATCAGTGCTATTGTCCTCATTCACAACAGCACCATCTTGATAACGTTCACTTCAAGACCAAGACTAAATTGTTTCCAACTACGCTGCAATTTAACATGACAGAAGCATTAACATTTTCCAATCAACTCCAGTCATCTCATAATTATTAATTCCATGGGTCATTCTGCACTTTTTGAAAACACCACAATTTTAGCCAACTATAATTTAACTTTTTACATAATCAAAGCTGGATTTAAACGAGAACTCTTCTTCAGGCACAGGTGATGGTCCTACATCCAGTGACAGCACTAGGTTTGTGCACATCTATATTAACATCAGTCTTTGAATAATAGGTTTGTTCTGGCCCTTAATCCAACAGCACTACTCCTGTTCTGCCAGCATTTCATAAACCAATATTGATTTGACAGGACTCGCAGGCTGCATTTGCTGCAAAAAAACCATTGTACAAAGTGTCTGTACTTGCTGAATAATCTCTGTCTTTAAATTCAATACCCATACCTTAACACACTTTATAGATCAGTGCACAGAAGCTGAACTCAAGGAACTAAATATATACTACACAATTCAAAGATTTTTTTCCACTAGCCTTAGCACGCTGGCTCCAACCAGCTCAACCTATGATCTGAGAGGCTTAAAGCACAGAACAGTTATTTACATGAGATTTCCTGCAGCTTTTTGCTTCCAAACAAAAAAATGAAAAAAAGCCAATGCCAAAAACTGTGGGAAAGTCAGAACAAAATAACAGTCATGCCAGAACATGCCAAAGTCAATTTGTTCTACTTCTAGAATACGCTGTACCTAATGCACAGGACCAGGGAAATAAAGCTAACCCCTCTCCAAAAGAAAAAGAAACAACGCTCAAGCCTCTCTGCACACGCAGGAGTGTACAATGCAGCAGATCCCTCATCTTTATGAAGTAGATCAACTTCACAAGGGCCACTACCAGTTTTCACTGAACTACACACTGGATTTATCCACAGCACTGATTTTGAAAGATCAATTAGACTTTTAACTTCTAAAATAAGATTTTTAACTTGCTACAATCAAATGTTTTACTCCAAAGTTTCTCTACTCCACTCTTCCCCATTGCCTTTCTTTCAAAAGGAAAAGGATCAATATGAGACTCATCACTAAGGTCTTCTCTTGGTATCAGTTGTCATTCCCAGACTTCTGCTGACGGAGGCAGCAATTCATAAGGTGACAACACATACGACAAGAGGCTCCCAGGGCAGCAGTAAAGAACACTGTACTGAATCAAGTGCACACGAGAGAAGTCCCAGATCCCAGGTGACAGAAAACTACACAATGGGATCTGAACTCAGGATAGGACACCTCCAGGGTAAGAGGATAACTGCTATCCATCATAAGCTCGTGAACCTGCCAGGCATGGTTATGGGCATTCAGTGGTGGTGGTCTTTTAGATTACTAAAAAAAAAATAAACTCATGGCCTACTCATGAAGTTTCTGCACATGCTGGAAATATGGAGCACCTTTCAGGATTTCCAGCTTCTGTATTTTCAGCTTGGAACTCAACAGTGCAAATTCAGATTAGCTGCTTATAGGAATGACTAAACATGAATGAAGTGCTACTAAGCTGCAGTGATACTTCCAAATTAATGTCACAGATGCAGCTTTGAAGACCAGGCTTTGATAGTGATAAGAATTCAGGAAGGCAAGATCTCCTTCCAAATACCAAGTCTCGCCCAACAGTCATAGTGCTGAGCCTGGTACAGCTATTAAACAAACACAGGAAGCACTTTGCAAGGCAGGTATTTTCCATTCAGACTGGCTCACAGTTGCATGTCAAGAATCAGTACAGACTAAAATAAACCCTAGTTCTGGAGTGCTGGCTGTACAAGCTTTATCACAGTTCCTCTCAGCATGAAAACAGCACTTTCACCTAGCCACACAAAAGGGATGAGCAGTCTTCTGTAACCTGAAAAGCTGCAAATATTTTTTTTACAGTATGCTATAGTAACACAGGAAAATACCTGGATTTTTAGCATCCATAACTGCATGCCCTTTTCAGGAATTTTCAGCAGAGAGGGAGTTCAAAAAGGTTCACAGGAAGAATGCTTATAAATAGCAAGTGTCCCAAAGACAGACTAGATCAAACAACAGACATCCTGTTGACTCCTCTTCCTTTGTTTTCACCTGGGCTATAACCTTTCTGCTTTGCCAATAAACATTCATTTATGTTCCTCTGCAAGATCTACAGCCCGACTATGGGAAACTGGTATACAACGTTCCAGAGATAACAAAGATTACTCATAGTTTCAGATACTGATAATGAGTGTAAAAATGCTTTAGCTAAGCAATACTAACGCACGAACGCAGGTGAGCGGGACAGAGCAGCATTTGGCAGGGGTAATGTGTGATACACGGGGAGACAAACTCAAGTCTCCTTTCATAAGGCCATACTACGTACTGCACCAAATCCTCCATGCTTTTCTTTATAACTCCAACTAAACCAGCTTTAGTTTGCTTTAGTTTAAGAATTCTGCTTCAAATAAATAAAACTTTCATGCAGAGCTAACAACAAAACGTCAGCTTTCACCCAGAGAAATTAAGAGGGACCTTTTCCCCCCAGAAGAAATAGATGCAGCCCATTCTTGCCATACAAGCGATCACACACTACTCGCAGACTCTAGATATTATACATAGAAAAGGGTGCTTTCACACAGAACCCAGCTCTGGCTGAGTTAAATACAAGGAAGTTTACCATTTTAACCGCTGAGTAATACCTCAGAGCACAGTAAAAGCACAGCCTGGCAAGATGAGGAATTTACTTCTGTTTTATCTCATCTTGATACGTTCTTGGGAAAAAAAAAATAAATCAGTCTCTTATACTTCTAAATTAGAAAAGTTATTAAGAAGTTAAACATTATTAGACTAGATGTTTAATTCATTGTTAGAAGAAAAAGTTCAGCAACTACAAACTTGCATTGACCTTTCCAGAACACTATAATTGTCCTCTCCTGTCCCTCCTTTGCCCACTTCTTTCTCTAAAGCAGCCAGGAGAAACTGAGAGAATTACAGAAGGCCAAGCAGCTCGCATGCAAGATAAGCATTTGGCTCTCACCCATTCTCCTACCCCATTAAAAACAATCAGACAAGTATTAATGTTTGGGCCTGGATATATTTGTCTGAATTGTCAGCACTGTCAGATACTTGAACAAAACACTATCACCACCCAACACCTTCAACAGCAAAACTGGCCGGTTTCACCGCATTGTTCCCAGCGCAAAGACAATAAACAGCAACAAGTGAAAAACCAGAAGTGCTGTTAGAAACGTGGAAGTGTTTGTTTGCATATCTTGCTCCCTAGGGACATTTAGTCATTGCTAGATCAGTGTTTTCCATGAGGATTTAGTGGAAGGAACTGGGTGGATGTGGATGTGTCAGAGGTATGAAAATGTGAAGTTCTCACAACAATGTCTAAATCAAAGTAAATCCCAAATGAATATTTGTCAGCTAAACAGAATTGTTATCTTCACACATAAACCTAACAGTAAACGCGTAAGTAGGTCTAGTGTGCCCTCCTGACTATGAAATGGAGAAATGCGGAACAAAACGCAGTTTTAATTAAGATTTAAAATAATGTTTGCTTGTTAAAAGGCTGGCAGGAAAAAAAAAAAATCTATAGTCAAACTTCATTCTAATAAAAACCAACCTGTAATAACCCCAGAATTTTAATAATCGTGAAAGTGTATAACATTTTTCCATGGGAAACTCAGCCTACCAGAGGGGAAATTTATTTGTGGCTGATCTAGACACTGTAATATTTTCTCATGTCTTCTTCTAAGTCTTTCCTTCAGCATACAAGCGCTTCTCTCTTTTGGCTTTTATTTTTCTCCTCTAAATTGTATTTTGAGTAACAGTCACTGTGACGCTATTGTCTAAATTGCTGCCCATCTTGAATGGGGCATTTTCTCATGTTGATTCAGCCAATTATCATCTATTCTATAGCAAACACTGATGTAATGAGCGTCCATCATGGTGAGGTCAGACCTGGGTCTTTTAGAAGCAGTAACAGC